AAACCTATTACGCAACTCAGTATACGCCTCACACTCCATGAGCACATGATATTCATCCTCAACCTTACCCGACGTACAGACCTGACACGTACGGCACTCTCTCGGCCTATGGTGTCCTTTGTTGACCTCCAAAGGCCAACAACAAAGACGGAATTTGGCAACCATACGCAACTGGTTGACCGGCAAATAAACACGCAAATAGCCTGTGGGATCGGAGCCCTCTCTTGCTGGTGAAGGGGAGCCCATCCAGTTATGATACCTGCAAAGCGAAACCCCTTTACCTTGGAACACACGCGGATCACCCCCTTGGCTGAACTGATCCCAGTCACTTAAAAGGAACGCAGATAACCTCTCCAGAACCTCACCCACTCGAATCAACTGAGACGAGTATACATCTACCTTCTGAGAAACGGAGTCACACGCCGGCCACTCATGGCCCAACCAACGCAAAATGATGAGCACTTTAGACGACCAGCAATCCACTTTGAGATCAGACAGAAGAGCCAGACGGAGATCATCCACTAACACGTCATGATAGACCGACCCACGGGACTTGACTATCTTATTCCAGAAACACAACGCAAGGCGTAACCAAAAGTACTGCAAAGGCAACTGAGACAGCTCCCTGTACAACAGCTTGTAAGGTACCTGCTTGAGCCCAGCACAACGTAAACAGAAGTCACGCTGGACCTGGACCATACCATCTTCCAAAGCCCGTACGATAAGTACGACTGATGGCAGTCCGCACATGCACACCAGCATTATATCAACTTGCTGGCTCCGGTGTTCACAGGATTTGCCGGTTAAGGTTCCCAGCTCTCCCATGTCACTGAACTTCTTAAACCACTGCGATTCGCACACATTCACTCACGCACACTCAACCTTTTTCCGACGCCAGGGCGTTTCACATCTTCGACCTCCTTCGCTTATCTCATACTCACCAATCCTTCGAAAAAGCATTCCTTTACGAATATTCGCTTTTTCTACGTTTCTACGGAACCGACTTTCCCCGAACGTTCTCCTCGCCCACCTCCCCTTCAAGCCCTCCTTACAGCATTACAGCAACAGCATTTCAGGACGGGACCCAGCACCAGCAGCACAAGACGGGACATAGGGCGCTACACTATTGCCGGGCAGGGGCTCAGCTTGGGAAGCCCTCTTTAGCTAGCGCGCAAAGGGGCGGGCAAAGCAGAGGGCAGGTGAGGAGGTAGGAAAGGAGGCAAGTGCACACCATCACCCGTACACCCCTCAACAGGGCGCTCCGGGTCCCGGCCCCGTCTGCAGGGCCTCTTCACGGGCGAGGAATCCAGCCACCAAAGAATTGCTGAAACTGAAACTGAACCTGGACCTAGCCGTGTCTGGCTAAAGGATGTGACGAGGCCGTCGTTGTCGGGGCGGTGGTGGCCACAGAGCCACCGGTCCCTGCGACCGCCGCTGCAGAATAGTAGTCCACGTGGCCGCCATTGTCGTACGCATCTGCGGCCAGGATGTCGTACAATACCTGCGCGCTGACCCGTGGGTCAACCAGCCGGCCGTTTCGCGCGTTGTCCTCGAAGCGGGACTTGAGCGACCCCGCAGGTAGAGCTTCCCGAGCTGCTGCCTGTAGAGCATTCGCCGTTGCCGGTTCGGTAGTGGTTGCGGTGGTTGCGGCTCCAAAGGACCACCGGTGGGTTACAATCAGGAATTCCGGTTACGTATGTCCGTATGTATATTCTCGTGTGTGGCCTGCCCTAAGTCCCAGTGTTGGGGCCATGCTACCCTTCCTTGACCGCTCGAGGAGCCACCTCACCCACGACATGGTGCGAAATCACAAACGAAGGAAGCTGCCAAGGGAATGTTCTAGGAAATCAATTTAACCCTACTGACTCTATACTCTAGGTGCGCGTAATTTGTAGCGTAATTTGTAGCGCCAAAACATACTCGTGCAACTCGTGCACACGCACACGCGCACCTGCATCTCAGTGTCGATGGCTCCCGGAGCGTAGCTGAGGGCCCGGACACGGGCTACCGCCGCCGGCTGCAAACCGCCGCCGCCGCCGCCGCCGCCGCCGGTGGTGTTCCCGGGTGAGCACTCCCACTGAAGCGGCGCTCCCCCAACCGCCGCCGCCGCCGCCGCCGCTGCCGCCGACGCGCCCTTCGCCGCCGCCGCCGCTGTCTCCACGAGGCCTCCAGTCTCCCTCAGCGCCGCCTCGTGCGCGACGCTCCGTACAATCATGTGACGCGCCGCTTTGCCCATGCCGTACAACGAGAAATGCTCGTACGGTTGGTCAACGCTGACTGATGAGATGTTCACGATGGTAATTACGCGCCGCTGACGGCTCTGATGGTCTTGGCGATCCTGCTGCTGCTGCTGCTGTCCCGGCGGCTGCGGCTGCTGGGAGTGCTGCTGTCCCGGCGGCTGCTGGCTGGAAGTTGGCTCGGAGGCCTCCGTTGCGGCATCAGCGCTTGCAGGAACGGGCGGCGGCTCCAGCCGGGGCGTGTAGAGGAAGGTGCGCAGGACGGCGGCAGTCAAGTGCGCGAACGACGTCACGTTGAGGTCGGTCTGCGGGCGATGTCACGTCGTGACGGCTTTCCATCCGGGTTCCGTTGGTGTTCTGTTGGTGTTCCGTTGGTGTTCTGTTGGTGTTCCGTTGGTGTTCTGTTGGTGTTTTGTTGGTGTTCCGTTGGTGTTCTGTCTCGCGTTCCGTTAGCGGACGGCGCACGGCGTTGCACCGCTTGCTTCCTCTGGATAACATATCCTATCAGCCCTGCCAGATAGCTGGCACCCGGGCGCCCTGCTAACCCACCACCACCCCTACCAACGAAACACGGATGCCTGTACCATATTCGGCTTAATCGACAGAACCACATGCTCATGTCGTACACTCACCTGGCGGCGGATGTTGGCGAGGACCTGCAGCTCCAATGGAACCAGGTCGCCTACCTGTACGACAGGACGCGCCGCCGCGCGGCCCCATGCGCGGTCCCGGAGGGAACAAGGGTCGAGGGGGGAGCTCGGGGAGGGGGGAGGTCGGGGAGCCAAGGGGGGAATCGTTCACCGCAAGTGGAGTGTGAGGGAGGGAAATCCCGTCCCCAAGGCAGGAAGGGGGATGGCGGGGAGAGCGGGGAGGGGGAGGGCGGGAGGGGCCAAGGAGGAGGACGGAGGAGGGGACACGCACCTGCCCGGCGTTGTGGACGAGCAGCACGTGGGTGTATGCGGAAGGAGGCAGCGGCAACAGCCCGGCACCCTCACTACCACCACCACCACCGCCATCAGCGGCAACACTTGTCGAGGTGGAGGTGGCGAGCCATGACGCCGCTTGCGACGGATGCTTCACCGGCATGTCTTCACTGCCGATGCCGTTGTTGCCATTTCCAGCAGGGCCTGCATCTGTAGCTGGTTTGGTGGAGGCAGGAGACAGCAGCCGTACAATGTGGGTTTCCAAGCCCTCCAAGTCACCCAAATCAAAACAGGCGGTGCGAATGTGTGTGACGCCCCGGAGACGGGGACTGGACGGCTCAGCCTGCTGCGCTGGCGCGGCAGCTGTTGCAGCCTGCGGCTGCCGCTGCTGCTGCTGCTGCGGTGGCGGCGACGACAGCAGTGAAGGCAAGGAGGGGACAGGTTGAGGTTCTGTGGCTTGTTGCGATTGTCGCTGGCCTTCCATTTGTCCCTGTTGAAATAGTAATCGTTGTTGTTGCTGTTGTTGCTGCTGCTGCACCAGGAGCGGTGCCAGCTCTGCCTGTACGAATTGGCCTAGTCGGGAGCGGTCGGAGGCGAGGAGGATAATGTCATGGGACCATGCAGTGGCGGCGGTGGAAGCAGAGGAGGTTGCAGGGGCAGTCGTGGCGGAGACGACACTGGTGGTCGGGTCGTGGATGCTGCCGCCGCCACAGGCAGCGGCGACACCATCGGCGGAGGCGCTGGCTGCGATTGTTCCGCCTTTCGTGGGTACTGACGGCAAGGGCGGGCCCCGAGAGGTAAGCACGCGCGCGATAGCAGCTCCTAAGCCGCGGGATGCGCCGGTGACAATGCTTAAGCAGCGCGGTGTGATGTAGGGGCCCGGGGCCGGGGGCTCGACCTCACAGGGCCCGACATTGGGACTGGGATCATCATAAAAGTTGGCAACCTGGCCTATTGCCGGCGTTAATCCTCCGGCTACAGGAACGGGTGCTCCCTCCGGCTTAGGTGCTGTTTTCGGCGCTGTTGTGATTGAGACGGCCAAAACTGCTTTGCGTCCCTTTGGCTTAGCATGGGGCATTATCGCCGAATGGAACGCATCTCGCGATGCTGAAAAGCATCGGCTCCGGAAAAGCATTACATAAATCAACTTAGCAGTCGCAAACAGCTGTTGACTAGTAAGCTAGCCTAAGGGGTCCTTGCCCTGCCGCAGCAACTTGGTATCACAACACTTTGGACAGGTGTTTCGAATTTACATTTACAACTTAACAGCATGCATGTCAGCATGCCTGGTAAGCAATACGTATGCATAGGTTTAATCCGAACAGCTTTAAACTACCAGCCGTCTGTCGGGCCAGGCCCGAGTATAGCCCAGATATAATACTAGGTCTCTAGGGTGAGCCTGCATATAATGCCACGTCGTGCGCGGTTGACCTGCTGACCATAGTATAAATGAAGTATTGAGTCATGTCAGCGAGCAGCGCTGGAGAGCCCACTGCTATTCTGCAAACTTTGGCGGAGATTACCCTGCTTTGCCCTTCCTAACGTCGATTAGAGAACACATTACCGTAACCTGCTTTCCATCAAGGACCGGTTGCTGGAGCTGTTTCGGATGGTCGTACTACTGTCGTTGGCGATTCAGATCATGGGCCGCGAAAAAAATTTTAATTTTTAGCAGCACCTCATCCATAGCTAGGTCGAGTTTGTAGGTTTCAGCTCCAATTCCACCGGGCACGGACTCTTCATTCCAGAATATTCCCTCCCCAGTGTAATTTTCAACACTCCGGCCTTTAATCCACCCTAAAGAGGGTCCACCACCAGCGAAGGGCCCCCCTCATCACCACCTTGACCACCAGCCGGTCTCTGCAACCTGCAACCCCGAGCAAAAGAACCTCTCACAGGCCGCATAATGAAGATTATCCTGAAGGACTGTCCATCCTATCCTGAGAAGCTATTGGGTCTAGGTACTGGAACCTCGACCAAACCCACTAACAATATCCCCAAAGACAATCATACCTCAACCATTACCGTATCTCTTCTATTAACTCCTGCCCATCCATACACTAACTCCTGCCCACACCTAACAACCATTGTTAACCATACAGTTTTTGCAGAGCCATCCTTCCCCCGAGCATACTCACCGCCTAGCCGTTTTGCCACCGAGCCACCAAGCCACTTACCGACCCCCCTGGCCACTGGGCTGTCAACTCAACCCCCAAGTCACCCATCCCACAGGCGCCCATCCCCCGAGCACCTGCGGTAACCTTTCTTACCGCGCGGTAGCGGTAGCGGCTTTTTGTCTGGTCCATTGCCTGCCAGTCCTGAGATTGCCAGCCACCTCACACTTTCCGGGTTGACCACTTTTGCAACAATCCTGAAATGTCTAATTTGCTTCATTAAGACCGCGTACGCTTAGCATTATGGCTGGCATAAGTTTGATAAAATTACGGCTGTGCGGGAGAGGCGACTGAAAAGAGGAGAATGGTCGCTGCTTTTCTGCAGCAGTCGCTCGTAGGCCAGACGCATGTGTAGTGCGGCATGCCTATAATATCCTCATCATGCCGTGGAAGCTCTATCCGCGTCACGCAGTCGCCCCTTGTCTGATGTCATTGATAAGGTGGGTGTGTCTGACATGGACGCTTCTGCCTGGCATGACTTATTTGTCTAGTCAGCAAACGGAAAACTGCGGGTTTTCATGTACGGCAACCCCATGTGCTGTTACAACATAAAGGGCTGTCGTAGTACCCGCCGAACAAACTGAAACGCAACACCAGACCACTCTCACAGGTCCTTTCTGTCCGACGTTTCTTCAAGTCCTGTCCCCTGCTAAGCCCGGAAATACACACCCACCCACCTGGCCGCGTTGGTGATGCCATTTTTACATCACTTAGCCCAAGGCACAAACCCCAGTAGTTTCTTCCCCCTCTTCTCGCACCGCAGGTCATTTCAGGACCCGACTTCCTTTTTGGTGTGTGGGGGTGGTGGGGTGGGTGGGGGGAGAAAAAGGAACCTAGGCGGGCGGTGAGAGCGGCTGCGCAGGCGGCTGATAAGCCAACACGCTAGTCCTCTTCGTGTTGCCCAACCCCTCCGCCACAACCGTCTCCACACGCCCATCCATGTACCATTTCCTGTATGCAACGCTGTGCCGGGGCCGGTCGGCCGGGGCACCGTCGCTGGAGTCGGGGTGTTGGTGCCGCTGCTGCGGTGGCAGCTGGGCCTGCTGGTGCTGGTGCTGCTGCTGCTGTTGGTGACTCTGCAACAGCGGCTGCTGCTCCTGCGGCGTTCGCTCCTGCGGCGGCAGCGGTGGCTGCTGCTGCACATGTGCTGTGACTGTTGTGTTTGCGCCCGGCTCCTCAACCCGAGCCGATGTGGCCGACGGTGGCGATGCTGCCACTTGTCCCGAAGAAGAGCTGCCGCCAGGAGGAGCAGCAGCAGGGGCGAGGGAGACAGCATCGCCACCGGCAGGAGCTGCATCCCGCTGCGGACCGCCGGCCGGAGGCTTCCCACCGACGCCTTCGGCGGAACCCAAGGGACCGGGTGGTTCCCGAGGGCTTCCCGCCGCGTCCCTGGACTGACACTGGCTCGGTCCTTGCTGCTGCTGCTGCTGCGGATGTTGCCACTGCCTGTATCCCTGATGCCCTTGCTGATGCTGGTGCGGTCTCGGCAGTAGCTCCTGTGGCGACGGCAGTGATTGGTTTGTTTCTTGTGACGGCTCCGGCATTTCCTGCAGTAACCTGGTTTCGGGGAATCTGTCCGGTCGCCACGAAGTGGAGGAGGGTACCTCCTGCCGGGGCTGGAGGGAAGTGGAGGTTGCCTCAAAGCCTGATCCCGAAGGCGGCTTACCCTGGTCGAAAGTCCCTTCATGTGCTGCCACATCCGACGTGCCTTGCTGCTGCTGCTGCTGCCGGAGCTGCTGTTGTTGGGGCTGTTGCACCGACGGGCCGGGTATGGGTATTTCCTGCGGCTGAGAACGCGGATGTCCATGTGGCTGTTGAGGGCCAGCAGCTGAGGCGTGGATGGGCATGGCGGAGGCGAGAGGCCATGCTGCACCGTTACCAGCACCGCTGCTTACTGGAACTGAGTCCCCGTCTGACTGGTGCGTCATGGCCGCAGATGGAGCGACTTGCTGCGGCGGCTGCAGCGATGCCGGAAGAGCTGACGGCTGGGCTAGTCCCGAAGGGGCCACCCTTGCTGCTACTGCTGATGGTGCAGCACTCGACTCTAGGCGCAGCAAGCTCAGCGGCGGCTTGGGTTGTGCCTGCTTTACCAGCACCTGCTGAGATGAGCCATCAATCGCCCAGACGGTGTAGAACGCCCGCTGTTGATGCTGCTGGGCGTCCTTTCCGACTTTCGCTTTTGTGTTTAGGACCACCCGCGGCTTCACCAGCCCCAGATCGTGCTCTTGTCCTCCTCCGCTTTCTGATCCCGAGGCCCCGGCACGCATTTTCGAGTCAGCGCCTTCCCCCCTTGCCGCTTTCGTCACCTGCTTTTGCTGATCATTTGTCTCCGGCAATCCATGCCAGTGCCGCAAATGCGCCTCCAGGCTTTGCAACCATTTGAACACGCCGACCGGCTGACCACCGGCGCGCATCAGCATCAACACATAATGGTGGCCTGAACCGGTACGGCCTGACACGTCATCCTTGACGTCTTTACCCGCACGCAGCAGCGCCAGCTGGCGCAGACTGACCCACGCTAAGCCCTCCGCCTTCTTCGCCTGCGGGTGTTTCTGTTTGTCTGGTGGTTTTGTCCGAAGGCACAGCGCATGAAGCGGAGTGAGGGAGTGAGGGAAGGAGAGCACGAACGCCGCGAGGCGAGGCAGGGAGGGAGGGAGGGAGATCGCGGTGGCGTGGTTTTAGATTGCGTGCGTGCACTGCAATGCAAAAGGGGATGCATCAGCTTTCGGGGTCCATACAAGCACAAATCACGGACACGCATTTTCCCCCCAAGGTGCATTCAAGTCGCCAGCAGCCATGCTCTCTTAAGGCCTGAGCCATATCCTCGGGAGCGGTTCAGGACACAACACAGAAGAAAGAACCGCTTACTGGGGATGAGGTATGCGGCACGCATGTGACCATGGCGGACATGGAGACTGGTGCATGGGCAGAGAGCACAGGCGCATGATTCTCCCATGATACAGGCCCCCCAGGAAGGCTCAGTGATTGGCCCGGGTTAACTGACAGTGGAAGGCAGAGGGAGAACGAAACGTTTCGTTCTCCCATTGCCTTCCACGCCCCGCCAGACAGCCCACCAGCGCTATTGGCCACCCGCGAACTCTTAAATGCTATGTAATGTCTTCGCCCTCCTACTGGCTACCGCGAGTGGCCCCACCCCACCCAACTTGGTGACCTCCCTGGCTCGCCATGTCGCGGTTCTATTTGCTGGACCGCCGTATGCCCACTCAGTCCTCAGGCGTTGCAGTCCACAACCGTACTTCCTGACACCCCCTTCTTCCTTCCTCTTCTGGACTATCCGGCTACCTCTGGTCCATGGTCTTCATTCGCCAGTGTGGTTCGTCTTACCCCCCTTGTTTCCGACCCCCTGGTCTCACCCATGATCCTCTTCTGGCATATCTCGGGCAGGTGCCAGGCATTGGGCAGATGCATCGCAAAGGCCGTGTAGCGCCCTGAAGGGAAGTAGGCGGAGGGCACAGGGTAACGCCCCCTGACACCACCGCGCCCGCTGCTGTAGTTGGTGCTATCTTCGCTTCTCCCGCGGCCGCTACTGCTGCTGCCGTTGCCGACTGTCTCCCCCGTCGCGCGTGTTCCAGTAGCGCTACTGCTGTTACTGCTATTGCTGCTGCTGCTGCTATTGCTGCTGGCAGCAGGGCTGCTACACACGGCCTCATGACCCCTCATGCAGCCAGTCGGGTCGGCGGCAGTAGCATCAGTATTGCCAATAGTGGCAGCTGCGCCTGCAGCATTACCAGCTGCATCGGCCCTAGCATTGGCTGCTGCGTCTATAGGTATGGCGTCACAGGCAGCGGCAGAGGCAGGGGTTACGGGAGCAGGTGAAGGCACAGCTGTCGCCGCTGAAGCATCCCGCGGCGACACGCTTTTCCGCACCGACGACCCGCTGCCGTACGCCGGTACCTTCCCAAGCAGCGCATTGAGGACGAGTTGCTCGTCCAACACCCGGTGCGTCTCCTCATGGGCCTCCCGTGCGGCTGTACGGCATGGGTTATTCTTATCGCCGCCCGCAACCTTGCCGCCTGCACATGTATCGTGTCGGAGTCGCAGGGAAGTCCCAGTGTACGACCATAAGTACGATAAACGGTGGCATGCGTACGGAAGCTGCGGTTGCGGCAGAGAGACACCATGCTCATTCGCATCATACGCACATAAAGTCCTTCCATAACTGGTGGTATTATGCTTGCCAAAAGAGCCTTAAGGAAACAAAGATATCTGCTCATATGACCTGTGATGGCAGTGTGCTGTCTATCACAACAATGTCAGCGACAACCGGCTAGGACAGCCGTGCGGCGAAGCGCAAAACTATCGTGCATGTACCCCTGTGCGGCCATCTCCAAACCCGTCCCTTGGATCCGCGTTTTCCAAAGGAGCCTCGACGACTTGTCGCACGTCAATTTCCCCCTGGCAGCAGCTTCACTCGTTCGTGGTTCGTCTTCCCCCCCATCCCGGAGTGACTGAGTGAGTCCTGACGTCTCACCCAGAAATGTGTAAACCAGGGAAGTCTTAGGATTCCTATCGCTAAGCTGGAACGACATGAGCACGTACAACTCCTGCTCGTCCTCGCGATAGGCGAAGGGAATGACGCCTGCAGCGGGTCCCGGAGATTGCCAAGGGCGGCAGTTAGCCGGGCAAAGAATTACCCAAGAAGTCGGGACTGTCAAGGGCTTATGGGTAGTGCCGACGGACCCTGAGCATCGGGCGTACAGCTTGCACACCTGCGGCAGCGTAGGTAGCTGACTTCGGGCACTCTGTCTGCCAGCCAAAAATGGTTCCTTTGGGACCTATCGGCGCGTCCGTAAATGACCACGGCCGCAGCGGAGACGTCCCTGACGTCGTAGCTACTGGGATGGAGGAAGAAGACTCAAAGTTGAGATGGATGCCCAGTTCGTCTTCACCCGAAGAGCTCGCTCGCTGTCGGCTGGTCGCTCGGGCGGATTTTGGCTTTGGCACTGTGGCGACGAAGTCGACTTGGGCCGATGCCGTCGCCGCAGCATTGCAGCTATGTTTAAGATCCATTAGAAAGTAGTTGCGGACTCGACAAGCAAGGCCTTTGCTCCTATATATGCCTGCCCGCTTGTGGCAGAACATATTAGTAAAGAGCGTTATAATAGGCAACGACTGCGTTACTTTAGCAGGTATGGGGGATCGCACTTCTGCGGAAGGAAAAAACATTGCAGCCTTGCAACCGATTTCTCGTACAAGAAAATGTGTAAGCTGAAATGGCAAGTAAGACCGACCTTTACACCGCGACACGCTGTCCTTACAACATTATGCACAAGTCTTTTATAGAATGGCAACGTTTCTACCCTTGGGGCCTTGGTTTGTGCTCTTGTCGTTCGCAGCTTTTGTCGTCATTAATGGAGCTATATGGCTAGCACGTCGACATAAGGTATACATGTTGTGAATAATAAATGCTCTCGTATTTGCAGTTACCGTGCATACCCAACGCCAGGGGCGACAGCTGGCTGCTGCCTCGCGAGTCCTCCTGTATGCATGTGCCTTACCGATAGATATGTGTTTACACGAATTTGATCATGTTCCCTCGCCGTGCGGCATAACACGGCTACCACCCTCGATCGCACGGCTACAGGCAGCCACCTCCGGCTCCCGTCGTGCTAAGCTGACAGCTGAAATCGCGTTCCTCCGCCGTGAGGCCGCCAAGCTCAACACGCCCAGCACATACGCCCGTTGTGCCAAGTACCAGCGGCTAGCGAACGCAAAGGACAAGGACCTTGCGGACCTCAACGCAGGTCCCGGCGTTTCGGGGACTGCAGACCGGCTGCTGGTGCTCGGCCGTGCTGTCAAGGTGACAATCTTGGGTGTATGTGTTGGGATGCAGTAAGGTGCACGACGTGCGTTGCCTGGAATTGCCCCGGCTAAGCCTTGGGCCCCCAGTGGCGGTGACTGGGCTGCTCCTGGCATAGGGTTATGCCGGAACTTTCCGGCAGGATTGGTGTGGTATCTTACCGTGCTGTGGTGAGTACTGTACGCCGTTTGAGCGCAGATTGCTACAAATCGTACGGATAGGCAGTGGTGCGCTGTGTCTGCTGTGAGCTTTCCTTACTCAAGCATGGTCTGCAAAGCTTATGACTTCCTCCTTGAGTCCTACATCGAGTTGGCGGGCATATGTTTCCTGTGTTCTATTTTCAGCCTTCTCCCAGCGTACTAGTCTTCTGTGTGCCATTCACGAGTGATAGCGCCTCCCATGCTGATTCAATTGTGGATTTCTGTACTCCAATTCCTTGTACAGCTGGTTCGTGTTGCATGTCGAAGCGTTTTCCGCGGCGGATTGACCGATTCCAATCCTGCTCTGTTCGGCCCATGTCCATCCCTTTCCTTCTTGACGGACGTGTTTCACGGGCCCCGCAGACCCTGGTGCTGTGCGCTGTCACGCTGGCTGTATGGGAGGCCCCCGTGGCGCGAGTCATGCCGCGTGCAGTGGTGGCACCGCTGGGTCGCCTGCTGGCTTTTCCCCACGGTGCAGAGCTAGCGGGCTTTGGTGGTGTGGCGGTGGCGCCTTGGTTGCTGCTCCTGGACTTGGCCACGGAGGCCCTCGCGCGTGCGGCCTTCCCGTCGGCCCCGCCGGGGACGGCGTGTGGGCCAGCAGCATTGGATCCGGCAGCTGTGGAGAGACTGATGAAGGAGGTGGATGCGATGGGGCGGAGCCGCTCCCAGCAGCAGTTGGCACAGCCTGCGACGTTGTAGGCAAATCGCGTTTATGTCCTTCCTTGGTAGGAACATTGGGCATCATATTCGTCGACAAAGGCGGTTGAACTAAGGCGACAATAGACACGGCATTGCCTTCCGTCACCTGGGAGCGGAGGACGCACGAGCTATGGGTTCCGGGAGGGATGGGGCTGCCTTACGCAGCTTTGTTAGCCGAGGGCGGAGCAGGATGAGTTTTGGTTGTCCTCGGCCTGCCTTAGCGGTGGGGCCCGGACCTGGGGGAGGTGGAGGGCGCTGCTTGGGCGATATGGGTCCGTGAAACCTTTCCATTTCTTCGTTCCAATGGCCAACAAGATGGTAGTCGTAATGGTGGCAGGGTAATCGTAGTGGTGATGGCGGTAGGACAGCCATGGTAGAGGTGACGGTAGCGTGAGATGGGTAATAGGTAGGTGGGTGAGATCGGCGATTGGCAGGGTCAGCTGTGGATGGCGCCACTTTTATGAGCAGGGGATTATCCTGGGGTTAAATGGCGAACGCGTTTGGGCTGTTGAATGTAGCTGTCCTGCGTGTGTTGCCATGTGTGTGAAATCGTAAGATGATTGAATTGGAAACGATAAAACCGGGAAGTTCGATAGTCGGCTGAGCGTTGGAGGCTTGGGCAGCGTGTTGACGTTGTCTCCGGCCCTTGGGTAGTTGTTATCCCACGCCCGCTCATCGTAAAAAGTTTGTAAGCCTCAACCCCCCACTCCCGACGCCACGCGCATCGATTGGACTTGTCCCATGCCTGTTTGCAAGCGCAAGCAGCACACAAAAGGACCCAGTCACTACGTATACTGGCACGGCAAATATGGGAGGTTCAAAGATTCAGGTCCCGTACCAAGGTCTCGCTCGGCAATTCGGAAGATACAGGAGTGATATCGGGTGCTGATCAAATAGTCTGCAAGGGCACTTTGGGTAGAACGGTAGGTGGAGGAAAAAGTACGGACGGGACGAACTTCCTCCTCTCATGATTGGAAGACCGAAGCTATACATTTTGGCATCCAACTGCTTGGGGAGCATATTACACACGTGGGGAATGTTAGTATAACGATAATTTAGACAGCAAGAGCTGCATACGTTGACTGATAACCATTCCTCTAAATTCAACAGCTACCTTTGTAATTGGAGTTTCCAGCTGAGAGGTTACAACAGCAATCATGTAAGGAATTGGCTTTCAACGCAGGGTGGTGGTCTGTCGCCACAATCTTTTACAACTCTTCTGCGGGTGGCTGGAACGCAGGGCACGCGGCTGCAGCTGCAGCAAGGAGGCTTTTCGGATTATAATATGGATGTGCTGGGTTGCTAACATGATTGTCACCACAATTTATTACCTCCTATCGGCGGTGACTTTCTACAAGCTCCTGAATGCTTCACAGCAGTCCATCTTGAACCCAAAGCTTTTGGAGATCGACAGGATTTGGCGTGCTCCTCTCGCCGCGTGTCTGCTGGGTTCGCTTCTGGTCTTTGGTTTCAACATGTTCAGCTGCTGCATCTTGCTCAAGTATGTCTCAGGGGCCCTCCGGGATTTGCGCCCGGCGTAACGGTGTTAACCCGCCGGGGTTTGGGCAAACCGTCTGTCCACCTGCAGGAAGTCCATTAACCGTAGCGGCCCAGGGTTTGGGTATGGCTTTATGGTTGCCTTCTGCTTCACGCTCGCCTTCTTCTGCCTTCTTGTGGGACTTACCATGGACGGTTTCAAGCAAACAATACGCGGCGCGCTCGAAAATGACGGTGGGTCCTACTCCCAGCCCAGTTTTGGCGTGGTGCCGAAGTATGCCCCTGTGAAACGAACTGGTGCATGTGGGTTGATCCATGTGTGCAGTGACGGCCTGGGGAAAGTACAGCACGGATCTGTACATCGGCGCGGAAGTCTTCGCCTTCATCTGCTTTGCCATGTTCATCCTGTTCTTCCTTATACTCGTCATTTTTCAAGGCGCTGTGTCAGACCATCTTGGAATCAGTAAGTCTTAACTGTGGGAACGAGTGCTAGCAGCGCAGCTTCCTGGGCTTCGACAGCGTGTCGCGCACTCTGGGTGCAGTTGCCTGTTTTGGGTCCGCTGCAACCTTGCATTTGCGAAAGCTTGTACGCGGCTGGATAACAGGCATCTGGCGCCCAGGACCCAGCTGACCATATTCCTATTACCAAGCCGTCATATTGGGTAGCTCCATAGGCTGCAAGCTGTCGCCTTTGCTTTAGTCTTGAACTTAACGTACGGAGGCTGTGCTCAACCCTGCGGTCACACAACCGCTAAAAGCATTTGACCGCGACCATATTCCTGCAGACACGGAGATGAACAATCCGTATGTGCCGATGGCTGATCCAGCTACCTTGGGGTTGACGGCTGGTGGTGCTGTAATGTCCAGCGATGAGAAGGCTGTATCATCGACGGATCCGCAGTACAACACACAGTATAACCCCAACGACTACATGAACAATGACCAGTATAACCAGTACTACAGCACGCATTATAACCAAGGCGCCGGTGCGTACCAGAGTACCACGGAGTTTAACACCAATGAGTACACATACGACCAGGAGCAGGTGCGGCACTTGTGTGCTTCAATCGGGGAAGGGGATTATGGTCTGAATGTTTCCCGCGGCATATTGCCATGCAGGATTTTGCTTTCCTGCGTCATACTGTACCACACCCTTGCTTTTCTCAGTACACACCGAGCTGCATGTGAATGAATATGGGTTTCGCCATAAGTTGCTGTCTTGTGGTGATTCGTGGAATGCACGGCTTATGACATCATCCTACTGCCATTATGCCGCCAAGACCTCGTTGTATTGCTGTGTCCTGCCAAACATTGCAACATCGCTACTTTCATTACTTCTTTGTTGGTCGAACCACAGGGTTACCAAGCGCCATACGACACCAATGGATATTCCACGGTGCCAACCGGCGGCCATGCAGCGGGCAGCGCCGCGACCCCGGCTTACGCCGCGCCACAACCGCCTGCCTACAACGACCACGCGAGTGAGTCTGCGGCGGCGTTCTACAGCCAGCAAGGCGCTTACGGAGCGACCGCATCGTACGCAACGCCGGTGCCCAATCGGGAGCAGCAGCTCTGATAACGTTGTGTGATGGACGGGGTGGTGAGGGGCTAGCCCCCGAGTTGCATTTTCATTTACGGGAGGCCGTGTAGTATATGATGTGGGAGCCGTGACCGGAAGAGAGCCCAACATGTGATAGCTGATGTGGGTGGTGGCTAGGGTTCGTTGTGACGTGACCCTGGGAAAGCGGTGTATGTGTCGGGTGACGTGAAAAGATCGTACAACCACCTGTTCGTAGGAACCTGGTTTGACGTTATGGAATTGTGCGCAGATTGCGAAGGAATCTCTAGTAGCTTTGCAAGGTGCCATGCCCACCGCGTTCTATTTGCGATTATAAACACATCTGTGCTGAAGCTTTATCGAGGTCTGTTGGCCTCGGCCTGGGGGAAGGGATACTTCTTAAGTCTTTTTCCAGGGAAACCTTGGGTTGACAGTCGGCTACGATCCTCATGGCTTGTTGCTGCGCGGGTGGTGGCCCATGACTTGAACGTGCGAAGCGTGTCATGTGCATAGCATAAGGCTGCTGTGAGTACTTATTTAATCATGTCAGTGTTTTGGGCAGAAGGTGCCCGTAAGGTCAATCCTAAGAAAGACGCGTACGTTTTAACGGTTTATTTGGTCCGGACAACTGAACGGGGCGTCGGGATGACGCCCTGAAATCTCTTACGGCACCCAAGTTAAGCTGGCTTGCGGTATTGATGTCATTCGCATCCCTGGGACGCTACCGCCTTCTGTTGTAAGGATTTGGGTTCGGGTAATCTTGTCATGTCATGTACGGACATGATATGCGTGCTTTGCGCTAATTCGTCGTGATGTGCAAAGGGGGTTGTCCAAATTTATCCAATGAGAGGTTCTGACGCAGCTTACACTAGTACGAAGTGCACATCCATTGGTCCATTCTGAAGCTGCAGCAGGACGAACACTCAAACATTAAGTCAGGCACTCCAACGTTTGTTCAGGTTTATCTTCAATAACTACACATAATTTGTTTGCATTTTATAGGGGATATTTTGAGGAGTATCCGTGGTGATTCAGGATGGCAAAAGACCGGAGCTCCGGCCAGGACGAATAGGATCAGCCTTGGGCAGAGCATCTGCGCATATTTGATTACCCAATTTATGGCCTTCGCACAAGACAGAAATGTCCCGGGCATCTTTGCAAATCTACCGGACTTTCTTACGCCAAGCGAATCGGATGGCTCGGCGTGGCATTGAGCTTGAGGTGATTCCTCATATGCACAAAGGGGATGTGGTGCAAAGCCATGACACTTCGTGCAGCTGCACATATCCACATACACGTCTGCGTGCCTTCTACTGAAAGGCCCTCAGCACACACTCCTGGACCCCCAATGCAACCCCCCCGATGAACAGATCAAAAAGCCCGTTCCGGACAACTGGGGGCATTACGGCTACAGCGAGGCTGGCTTGGCCTATCAAGCGAGCGCCATGTCGCAACTCTTGGGCTCCAGCCTGCGTTTTTTTCCGGGGGCGGAAAAGCTGGATGCGTCTGCTTTGCGGCATGTCCTGCGGGAGAACTTCAAAGCAAACAAAGGGGCAAGTTCCGCAGACACGCCACGGCTGGTGGGCGAGGTGAGTCAGGCCGACCATCGTAACGCGGCTTCAGGGCCCGATGACAGCAAACACGCACACGCACATAACAATCCGCACGTACGCGAACACATTGTGTACGGCGCATATGTGGATGCATGCAGGCAATGGCGGCACTCCGCGTACTGCTGGAGCAGCTCTACCTGCACCGCTGCTCGTCCACGTGTACGACGGAGGGAGTGCGGGTCGAAGCGACCTCCAAGTTCAGCACGGTGCGCGTCCAGGCTCGCGCACCGTGTGCATGTCTGTGTGTCTGTGTAGTCTTCATGTGCTCTTTTCCCTGTGTACGCGTGTTCCTTCCTCTCTCTCTCTCTCTCTCTCTCTCTCACACACACACAATACACACACACACACACACACACACCAACGACGGGCTTCGCTTCCTTCCCCCTTCCGGAAGTTTATTTCAGGCGCAAAGCGCCTGAAGGGACAACCCTGAAGGGGACAACCCTTTAGGCTAAAGTTCCCCTCTAGGGAAAAAACTTTAGTCACACACCCACACCCACACAGACACGCAAAACCTCCCTTTAACACTCGTGGACCCCCAACATCCTCCAAGGCCTGTGCAACACAATTCCACATCCCTTATGCGATCTGTCCATCTGACCGAATCGATGCTTTGGACGTCGGCAGTTGACCCTTCGCTTTCTCCCGCACACACTTTCCATTCCTCCGCCGGTTTCCATTCGAACTGCCTTTCCCTCCCCCTGAGGGCGGTTGGTAATCCGCACCTCTCCCAGCGCAGGCCGCGAACACGTACGGACGCAGCCAGAACCTGTTTTCCTACCGGGTCCGGGTCACCAACCTAAGGTGCGCTCCGGATGCCTGTTGCGTGTATATGTGTGTGTGCACGGCTGGGATGCACTTGGATGGCCTGGCTATGTCTCTGCCTGCCTGCATGCCATGCCTGCCTTTCGGCATTCCGTACCGCCTCCTCGCCTGCCGTCTGATCATCACCTGGGCTTGAATGGCCTTGCGGCGACGAACAGGGACGAGCCCATTCAAGTGCTAGGCAGAGAATGGACCATCCTGGTGAGTGCTGGGTTGCGCCGGGCGTGGGGACGTAGGGTCTAGGAGGGCCGGGGGACCGGGCCCCGCTGCCGCCGCTGGGGTATGGATTTGTGGGGCTTCGTCTCCCTGGACTTTCCTCTCTCTTCTGACAGTGAACATGTTCACAACTGTCCTAACTAACTAACTAACTAACAGCAGCAAAACGGAACCAGAGGATGCGATGCCGGCGAACTCATGGTCTAACAATACGCTGCTAAGACGCCTCCAAGCGCCTTGACCTGACCTGGCCTGACCTGGCCTGACAAGTGACATGTCCTGACTTCATGGCATGAGAATAGTTTACACGTGCTACATGGCATTAGGCGAGCTGTAGCTGCATATAGCTGCATGGGTGGGATTAATGACTGTTTTGGGGCTACGTGTACGGAATGTGGCACGGAAAGCACGGCTTGCGCGCGCGCGGTCACACCCTGTGTAAAACTTGCTTTCTTGCTGCTAGGGTAATTGATTGCTTGGAGTAGTTTGTTTTTGTTTGCTGTCTTCATTCATGTCGCTTGTGCCTGTTCGCATTCGAAAAGCCTCTGTCTGATACCCGACCGGGTTGAGAAAGGTCCCCTCCCTCCTCCTGCACTCGCGTCTCCTTCAGAACGACAAAGGCGCGGTGGTGGTCCACGTGCCCCACGTGCCCGGCAATGCTGTCGTGGGTGAGTAAGGCCTTCCGAACCGAGTTGTTCTCGCTGAGGGCTGCGGGCTGAGGTCTGAGAGCAGGGGCCCCCGTGGGCAAGCTTGGGGTTCCCTGCGTGATCGTGTGGAGTCGACCCCGCGTGAGCCTTGCTAGCCTTCGTGAGCCAAACATGTCCGATGCATATCCGCCGTTGTTCGATGTCAGATGCGCGAGCTAAACATGTTGATGGTCGCATCATTTCGCGCCGCTCCCTGATGGGCTTTCCTTCTTTTCGCGACCCAACAGTCCCAACTGCCCATCCTCTTCCAGATTCCGTGGGTTTCATGCATTCATGCACATATATATGTATATATAGAGAGAGACATACATATATATACACACATACATATATTATATATGCATGATTTCCTGCCGTACAGGCCAGCAACCCATCATCCCTCCGAATGATTGCTTTGAGTACATCAGTGGCACGGATCTGGATACGCCCTCCGGCCTTCAGCGCGGCATGTTGGAGGTGGGTCCTACGACGTTACGGCAATAGTACGAGTCTCTTTCCTCAATAGCTTCGCTATATACGTTTATCACATCATCGACATGCTTGGTTGGATCGTCTTCTACCCATGCTGTCCATGATGTTCATGATGTACATTCATTTGTCATAGATTTATTATGTGGTGGTACGGCAGGGTAGGGATAGCTAGCTGTCGTACTAAACTACCGACATCAGGGGTTTAGCGCCGCGTCGTTGGGTAAGGCAGGGGGAGAAGTCCACGATGTGGCTGGGTTGGCTGTGGGGTTTTGTTACGTCTAGCTTACATCATCCCCCGCCCCTTTTTCTCGCGATCGTCTTCACGTCAATCGTCTATGCTTCGTCGTATATCCCCCGGCCCCCGGCCCCCCGATTTGGTCGTCGGCAGTCGGTCCTCGTCTGTCCACTCCGTATAGCAGGACTCCCAGCTGCTGAACAACAATACCCGGCCCAACCCCGCACGCGCTGTTGCCCCCCTCGCTGGCTCCTCCCCCCCCTTCAAACCCCCCTCCGATGGACCCGCAAACCGGTCAACCATGTCGGCGACGGCGCGCGGCGGCTCCGCATCCATTTCCACCACCACCACCCCTGGACAATCGTCCTCTTTAACACCGACGTTGTGTTGGTTGTAAGAGCAGATCGCAGTGTTGGACAGCGGGCGACCCGTACGGACCTTCATGGCCACAGTGAAGCCCTTCCTACACATGCGGCCGGATGTGCACAGGTCGTAGCTCCAGATGCAACGGCGGCATTAGCAGCGCAGCAGCAGCAGCAGCCACACTGAATTTGAGACATGCGATGCCTACGAGTCTTAACGGCAGTGGCTGTTATGTTGGGGTTGCTTTCGAGTCCGCCGTAGCAGCGTGTCATAGCTATGGCAGCTGTAGGAGGGGGGTCCAGGGAGGTGCAGCTATATCTCTCGCCACGTGCATTCTTGGCCGCACTGCCACAGCAGGAGAGGCGACACACGCCGGCAGAGGCAATGGACTGGGGGCCAGATAGGCTGTGCTGGCCTGCCTGCGAACACAGCCGCCCACTGGCCGGTGGCACAATGGGCGAGGCCGCTAAGGGTTGTGTGGAGGGGGGAAATGACGTGCTGCAAGGAAATCAGGAATGAACTGCCGGAGGGCCTCCAAGGTCCGAAACTGCCGACGAGGGGCGACTGGGAAGGTACCTTTCTTGACGAGCGACCGGCTGTTAAAGCAGTCCGCCGCCTGGGCCGCCCGGGAAGGGAGAACAGCTGTCGTGGGTTGTTGTCGGGCCGGCGGGGGCTCGGCGGTTGCTGGTAAATCGGTCCTGGCATGCAACATGCACGTACAGGCATGCTTACATACATACATACATACATACATGTATCCGTCCTTGGAGCCTGCTGTATACAGGAGCGCTATTTTGCGGATGGAGCGTTGCTTCGCATAACGGGATGCGTTCTGGGTTTTTGTGGGGATGTACGGCATGGTCGCCGTCCTTGTTTCTGCACGCGCATGCCTATCTGCCGCGTTTTTCACGAGGCCCAATGTGTGAAGGGATTACATTACGTGCACGCTTTTGGGATACCGCGGCAGCAGCAGCTGTAGCAGCCGCAGCAGCAGGGGCCGCATGAAGCGGCGGCGCATTTGGGAAGGGAAGGGAAGGGATAGGAGGCATAAAAGAAATATGCCACGAATGGCACGAGAATGAGGAGGCGGCGTGGAGGTGGTTTTGGGCCACGGGAGGAAGCGCAAGTGCAGTGGGGTGGGTGAGGCGTCATTTGGCGTCATTTGCGAGCCAGGAACGCAGGTTCCAGCTTTATTCAGATACAGCCACCGCCCATTTGCAGGTATGGACAGCCACAGCAGTGCGGCATTTAGATGGCGACCTCGTCCAATTAAATATATATTTATAAAGTTGGACAGACCTGTAATCATAGACAGTAAATATAAACGGGTTTTAGTTAGCTACAGCAGTGTTAATTGTATACCGTGAACATTATGCAAGGCGTGTGGAAACCCGCGAACAGCAACACAACCAGTAGTATTCTTTTATATAACCACTGCAGTGGTGAATTCCCTGTCGCGATGCAGGCGACATGTACGGCATGAAGCACCAGTATTTGCGGATGTCAGCCCAAAGGTGTTTCACTAAGTCGCCCCAAGTCAGCCCCAAACCCTTCACGTGGCGTGGGTTGCACCTGACGTTGCACTTGGGCTTGAGAGGCTTCAGATGCCTTTGTCCGACTGCAAAGTGCAGCCCTTCGGGTAGATCTTCACAGGCCCCCCGGTCACGTGAGTATTAAAATGGAGAGCACGCTTGATCTTCCATCGACACCATGACAGCTGATTATGTTTTAATAAATTACCATTCCATATATTGTAGCTGTGATAAACCTGCTGCCTGTCAAGCCCCGACCCAAAGTCTTCCCTGGCACACACAAATCCATCTGGTGGTAGGTCTCGAAGGTTTTTGCATGCCACATTGAGGAAACCCGCCTCCACTTTGCCGAAATCGAGCTTCCCTGCTCATGCCCTCCAGCATCATCTCGCAGTACACGAAGTTTTCAGGCGTCAAAAGGCTCACCATCGACACAACGAAGCCATGCTGGCCGACGAATGTGCCGACCCCTGCAAAATCCCACACACACGAAACAATACACAGAGACAAAGGGAAAGGTGGTAATCCGTCCATTGTCTTCATGTGGGACCCACCAGCCCGGTCTTAATGTGCTGTACGGCTGCCGAACACCTTAGCAGCCTTGAAGCCCGAGCATGAGGTTGCCTCCGGATCCAAATCCTCAGCAGGGAGATCTTCCGTTCTTCTTCCAGCCGTTCCTTCACGGCATCCTCTGAGATGAATAAGTTCCCGCTGAAAGGGGCTCTAGGTTGAGTGAGCTGCGAGCTGCTGCCTTGATATGTCGCAGCCCAAGATAATGCGACACATATGCGCCTTGGGGCTTCAGCTCGTATGGGTAGTTTTACAGGTATGGGGTCACGCACCCCCAACCATGTAACACACACACACACATATGCGCCTGCATGCCAAGTACGAGGTTCAAGTCCCTTCCTCGACACCGGGTGGCATACACCCATCCACTTCCAGTATCTCCGGACCCAACTTCCGAAGTAAAGCAATGAGTCATTGCTTTACCCGAGCCCAATGTGTGGCTACAATTGGCAACAGTCGCCAAGTAAGATTCCGAGGTCGGAATGGATTCCGTTTGCATCGTGCTCACGCTTCAGCAGCTCGGAGATTGCTGCGGCTGACGTTGAATTTTCCATTCGAAGGTTGGTGCCCGCATGCATGAGCCCTACGTCGTACCATGGACCCTGCCACACCTAAACTGAGGAGCAGTAATACTTCCGTGATGCGCTTTCGGAGTTTGAGCTCTCAAACTCCTCTTTCTTATCTGTTCTCGTGGCCCCCTTGGAGGCATGGCGGCTTGGGGGTTTGCATTGGAAGCGAGCTTAGCGGGCAATGGTCTTGCAGATGTAGGCTCAACGATGTGCTGTGCCCTGAGATTGGCGGCATTGATGAATCACGGTGGCGGTGGAGCGATTCAGGATTTCATTCAGTTTGAGGCTGTGGCCAATCCGCTGCGATGTTTCCCGATTGGTAACCTGACAGGAAGCCATGTTTTGGTTGAGAGCAGTTACAGGCATCTATATTTCGGTCCAAGTGGTTTTCCATGGGGATGGATGGAGCGAAGAAGCTTCGCTGGAGCCTGCACCGGTGCACCCCGTTTCTGTCCTGGGCGGCTGCTACAGGACGGCGGACGCCGCATGTATACTTGCAGCAGTGCTTGCGTGTCTTGCAACTTTTGCGCATCTTGACAGTGTTTGACAGCGCGCTTGCTTGACGCATACCCAGGTTCGTACTGTTCATACGGCCCCTTGCGTACAACTAGCGCATGAAGTACAAGACTGCCGTTATGACCCTTGGTGATGTATGTATCAATTGACTATTTTTGTATGTCTTCCTGGCTCGATGCGTCAGGGTTTCTCATGTTTCCTGCGTAATCCTGTATTCGGCAAAAGCGGCAGAAAATAAATTCGGCCTTGCTTAGCAAGCATCATAGTACTTGAGTGTGCTGCTTGGGTCACTTTTAATAACACGCATATGGTTTCTAAGTTATCCATTGGAATGCATGTGTCTGACTAAAAACAGTTGGCGGGCGACCTGTATTGAAGCGCGGAGGTTGCCAGCGAGGATGGAACAGCTAAGAATTTACAGGGCTTACTTAAATTAACTTTGTACAGGCTGCGCTAATTGGCCTGGGCAATGAATTGTGGTTAGAGGGTCAACTGTCATACCTCAGCTTTGCAACTATATGTAATCTGGATAATCATGATTAAAATAAAGGAGTGCTTTATGACAGAATGGAATATCAATTGGGCACTCTGGCCCATGGAGATCATATTGCCATGTCTCGACATCGATGTCCCAAACAGCTGGTTCCAGACATTTACAGCACCTTGAGACAAGATAATGCTAACCTTAAGCCTGTACCGAGTTCGTCCTTGCCCAGCTTATGAGCCGAATGCGTACCTGTTCCACCCTTTTTACTTCTTGGGTGGGCGCACGACCGTACGATCATGGACTGTGCATAGTTCACAAGACATTTTTAATGAAAGGCAGTAAGGGTATGATAAATTTTGATATTACTCCAGAGCTGCTCGCATAATCCAGCAAAAATGAAGCAGGTTGGCGTGGTCGCTGTGCTGGCGGCCGCTGCCTTCGTGTAAGTAGGATTCATCGCTCTGACGCCATGCTACTCATAATTTTGTGTCGCTTTTGAATTGGTGGCAAGCTGGTTGCGGACTCCGGGCACAGTTGGAGTTGGCAGCCCTGCATGGTGCAGGCTGGGTGCCCAACGAGCAGAGATTATGCGTTAATCACCACAGCGTGATAACCAAATTAAAGTTTTACGAATGAGGCGCCCGGCGTATGCGCGCCTATCGATGCAGCTTCTCGCGACGCGCGGGCTGTGGCACGTCTAGTCGCCATGCTGACTTCGCGCTTCTTGCCTTTCTGCAGGGTGGCTGTCAACGCACAAACAGGACGCTACCCGTTTTTCCCTTTCTGTCAATGCACAAAGACGCCATCGCCATACAAGCTGTCGCCTTCCGTGAAGGCCATGGGCAAGGGAAGGTTCTGCTTCACGCTGAATGTGAATCCGCCTGCCTGCAGCTTTCCCTGTTGCAAGGCCGACCTCAGGAAGATAGAGGTGCGACCTCAGTGTGGCCTTACCTTCACTATGGGGCTGCTCATCTTGCCCGTTCTCTCTTGGGCACGCTCGCACGTATGATTTTTAATAGGATTTTATTCATTTAACTTCTAATGCGCATGAATTATTACTCATTATATTTACGGTACTTGGTCTGAGCTAGGTCTTGTTGCTGGCGCTGACGCGGCTTTCGGTATGCTTTCATTCAGCTTTCCTACTCATGCTTGGCACTTTCATATATATTTTTTAAAATCATGAATTTTACGTGGTTGTGGCTACCTACTCGATTTCGGTCTAGCTACATGGCTGATCATTGGCATATCACCTTGCAACAAAAAATGTTCAACAGTGTATCACTCCACATTTACGAATTCTGTTAAATAATGTTGCTTCGCAGCTGAACGTTAACCCAGAGTGTGACGCCTTCGGTGTCACAATCAGGGCCACCGTCGATGGCAAGTTCACTCCGGTCGCCCCATCCTTCGACGAGCCAGACCAGGGTCCCATTGGCGCCAAGATTCTCCGCATCCCGCAGCTAGGGCTTGGCCTGAACAGCGATGGCGCCGAGATCTGTATCACGCTGTCCAAGCCCAAGGGTGGCGCGGGCTGCACTACCCTTGAATCCCTGTGCGTGCCGCCGGGCAACATGACCACCGGTGTCTGCTCCGCCGCCCTCTTCGACTCTTCTAATGACTGCTGCCCCATCTCCTCGGTCAACGTGCCAAGCCCTCCGCCGCCGTCGCCACCCCCGCCATCGCCTCCACCACCCCCACCACCCCCACCGCCGCCGCCGTCGCCTCCCCCTCCGCCGCCCCCATCTCCCCCTCCTCCACCACCGCCCCCGCCTCCACCTCCATCCCCCCCTCCTCCTCCCCCGCCCTCGCCTCCTCCCCCGCCTCCGCCTCCCCCTCCGCCTCCCTCGCCCCCGCCTCCTCCACCCCCATCCCCCCCACCTCCACCACCGCCCCCGCCGCCCCCACCCTCGCCTCCACCCCCGCCTCCACCCAGCCCACCGCCGGAATGTGTTTTGTGCACTTCCGTCATCTACAGTTCCGCGGGTTCCATTTTCTCGTATTCAGTTCCCAAGAGTACCTGCGACCAGCTCTCCAGCGAGATCTCGACTTCTATTACCGCCCAGGCTAATGCGATTGGCGCAGCAATTATCCCGACACCGGCCGCCATCACTTGCGAGAGCGACAAGATTACAGTGTGCACTACCTTCCTGTCGGCTGCGGATGCTCAGAAGCTCAAGGAGGACAACTGGCTAGACAGCCAGGTTGCTATTTGGGTGTCGCGGGCCACGCAGAACTGCCCGGCGACTCTTGACGGGTATTCCGTTAGTGTGTTTGCGGATTCGGACTGCGTGAGCGCTGGCGCCACTGCTAGCTGCTTCCTGAGTAACCTGGAGTTCCCCAAGTGCGAGTAAGTTGGGGAAGAGGGAGGGACGGGCGCGGGGGCCGTTGCCTGGGGGATTTGCATTTCTCACTGCAATGCCTCCCTTCCCACTGTGCCGTACAGTGTCTTGACAGATTCCCCAGCAGCTTACACCCCAAATATTTTCCCTTGTGTTATTTGTGTTTTGTGTTTTGTTTTGTGTGCCAAATGTGCCTGAGTGTCAATGGTCGCTTTATCTCTTCCTTTCTTCCTTCCTTCCTTACCAAACCTTCCTTTCTTTCACAACCCTAAGTTGTTATTCTTCCTTCCGCAGGTGCAACACCGGTCGCCTGTCGACGCCCTTCGTGGTGCTGCCGTCCTTCACCCGCCTGCCAGGCCGGGACAGGACCACCAACCTCTTCTGTTTCAAGATTGACGTCAGGACGCCTAAGAACAAGGTGGGGCTGGCTCGCTCCGGGCGTGGTAGACCGTGTCCCTCTCCCAACCCACTCTACACTACTTGTTTCGCCCATTCATGTAAACGTACCACGGCGCATGAACCGTGGCGCCCTTCTTCTCGCACACTTCATGTCCACCTGCCACCTCTTCCCTAACCATATCCCTGATCGGGAAGACTCTCTGTCGTGTAGTCGGTCGCGTTTGAGTGCCGTGGCCGGCTGTCTTATCCTGGGTCTTTCTTGCGCTTGCCCTGGGTCCCTCTGAAAACGTCGGGTGTCTGTGATCTCCGTTCGCGCTAGCGAGCTATCTCTTATTGCCCGTGCAGCCCTTCCAACCGTCAGTTCGCCGGCAGTTCGTCCAGTTCTCCTCCGCCGGATGCCGATCGGCCGTCAAACCCCTGGCCTGACCTTGGCCCATGTTATAACATATCACAACATATCACAACATGTCACAATCCCGCTGCTTATGCACACTTCCGACACGAACCACGCCGCTGAACACCTGGCTTCGCAACAAAAATGTAGAGCTGATAATAAAAAGTGTTTCACATGTTCATTGTTTCTTCCCGTCTTGCCTGTGCCTCCACCTGCACAGGGCCGCTGCGGCCAGAGCACCATTATGGCCAAGTTGGAGATGTGGGCCAACGATGACCTCAGACGCAGCGTGAAGGGTGTCGGCCTGCAGGCTAATGGCGCTGCGAAGATGAAATTCCAGGAAGCTGCCTGGGGGAAGTACGGCGAACAGACCATGAAGTTCACTCCCCTAGACTGGACTATGGAACAGGCCAAGAACGCCACCGTCTGCGTGGAGCTGGTCAAGGGCGTATCCCTGGGCGATTTCTGCAACACCGGTTCTAATACGTGCTGGTGAGTACGGAGTACGTAGTACGGCATTATTGATGTGTACGGTGGTGAGAAAAGACACGATGGGGGGCCGGGGGAACGGCGCGTTTTCATTGACACCGTTCGTTATTAGGTTCGACTACCCAGGGGCCAGAGGCTGCCTGCTGCCTGCTGCCAGAGGCTGCCTGTGTGCCAGCGAGAAATTTTGCGATATGCGAGAAGCCGCTCCTTTTCCGCTGCTGATCGTTGTGGTGCTGAAGGAGTCGCCTATCTCCACCTTGCTGCGCCGCAGGCTGAACATCTTCGACCCAAGCGGGGACTGCTGCCCGCTCTTCCCTTCATCGTTATAAAAGGCTTCTTCATGCAGGCGCAAGCTGTTGCTTCCCTGATTGATGACAAGCGGTTGCCTCCCGCTTTACTTCGCTAGACGAACAGGACAACGTTTGCACTACGATTCTTGACTTCAGACCAAGCACTTGGTGACATCAAGAGATTTTGTGGGAGGGAGCTGTTTCATACCGCGGATCACAAAAGGACACTCATTTACCGTTGGCACACTTCATTACTCATGCCTGCCACAACTCCGATTTGCCATCCCGCGGGCGCGAGCTGCTCTAACGTGCTTTACATGTATCGTTCTTGACAGTTACTTGCTTGGACGTTTCTTGACCAAATGACTGTTGTGAGTATTATTGCCTGTTAAGCTGTTTTGTGGCGACGCAATAGCTTCTCCGAGACAAATTTGACGCCCCCATCACGACTAATGCTATTCATGTGTATCTTACCTGCATTGGGTGCCAGGTTCGCTCCTGCAAATGGTAGCGTGCCTGGCACTCGCCTTGTCGCACTTTGCAATGCCTTTGTAACTCTGGAGCTTTCCTATCAGTATGGGTTGGGCATACGGGTGCTGGCGTGTGTGGATGGTCTGGGTAGGCACATGTAGATGATGGGAACCTTTCACGGCCTCACCCTGTTGGCGCCCACTTGTTGGCGCTTCTCGTCATGTGTGTAAACAAAGGATTGACCAACCAAATGCGACTGCTTTCGCAAGCAATCGTTCTGCGCCAATCCTTGCATGTGCCCCTAGTTGCGGCACGCTGCAAATCACACCGTGCATATCCAACCTCGGCATCCCTGCACAAACCGCCTGCCATCCTCCTCTATCCTGTGTGGGTGGTGATGACTGAACTCGCGCGCTGCTGCCGGCAGCGCGACAGTTGCTAACTGCGGCCCACATTTCCACATTCCTATATTCCCACGTCTCATGTGGGAGGTAGGGGTAGTGGGAAGGGGGAGGGTCAAAGGGAGAAAGGGCGCAAGGTTCAGAAATTAAAGGACGCAAAAAGAGGACCACCCACAGAGGGATAGGAGCGGAGGAGAGAGGAGCAAGCACGTCGTGTTTCTTGCCGTGGAGCTGCGCATTGTCACGCGCGCACACGTTTTTTTTGCAACCTCGCACTAACCGGTTACGCGGCCGTAGGTGGTTCTCCCTCCTCCCGCTCATATCTTTTCGCCCACGAAATCACATTCCCACAAGGCGTCGCCATTGCACGCGTGCTGTATGCCGTACTGGATAATGGATGACGCAAGCGCGTGAAAGGTTGCCTAGATAATTTGCGTGATATACCGTCCATTCGCTGTAGTTTGGAGTTACTGGTGGAGGCTGATGCGCTGGCGGGCCTAATTGGAAGAGCAGCTGAGCCTCGAATTCGCTGTGTCACCCAATAGGTGGAGCAGTCAACCCAGCCACAAAGTCAGGAAGTTTCAGGATTGAGGAATGAGCCTCCATGAATATGCACCCAATATATATCATCGCATCGCAGAGCTTAACCGAGCGGATTTTAAGTGTTGAGAATGTATCTTTGCACTGTATAATTAAAAATTGGTAAGCCCCGCGATTGGGGCGTAAGCAATATGCAATGCGATTGTGTTACGATAGATACACGGGCAGCGCATCACTGGTACGAACGATTTCTTAGGTCGCCTTGATTAAGCACCGCAGATGTAAAACTCAATACATGTCGGAAGATCATGCATGTTCATATTTTACGAGCCATATTCATGGAAGCACCATTGCAACGCTCAGGTTCGTGGCGAACGCGCATAATGCAAAATTGGGCCTAGATGGAAGGCTTAGGATGTTCCCTGTTTACTTACAGTTCATACAGCGGGTTGAATGAAGATGCCGGCTTGCAGCCCTTGTCGAGGCTGGTTATTGACCAGACAACGGGCTCCATTGATGCCACAGACTTCCGCAAGCATCAGAAATTAGTAAACGCTCTTCATTATGCGTGATATCGGGTAAAAATATCGCATCGCTCAGCTCGCAAGTCACCTGCCAAGCATATCTCATCAAAGCCGACTATGCAGTTACCTAGTTTTACAGGTACATTTGAGAGATGCACATTCTAGAATTACTCACGGTGTTGGTGACGGCGACCAGGTTTTGGTTCATCGCGATGTATGGAAGTGCGAACGAGGACTTCGGAATTGACTGCGTGTGTGATAGGGCTAACTTAGGTGGCACCGACACCTCGAGATAAAATTTCTGCAGGCAGCCACGCGCGTCTTCCTTTTGTGAACCCTTTACTCGGCGCCTTCTGTAGCGAGCCAACTGGGACCGCGACGAAGAGCACGCTGCATGGCGGCCCTTTTATTCTCTCCCGCCATAGCAACGTAGCTACGTCCTAATGCAACACTTAACAACCCGATTGAATTTAGAAAAATAGGCGTTCGGAAGTAACGATGCGGAGGTACTCCAGGTACATCTGTGATGGTCGTTTCGTCGTGTGGGACGTTCGCAGCACGTTCCGGACAGGCGATGGCGGTGCGGAATGTGCTGCGAACGTCAGCGGTGGCCTGCGCAGCGAACTCAAGAAGGACGTTATAGCTAGTTTACATGCTACGTTACGTTACGAAACCTTTTTGGGAAAAGTGGCCCTGAGAAAGTCACCCAGTTTACACTGGACGTTACGACGACGTTGTGTTCGTTGGCGCGAGCTGCGTAAACCACTATGGCTTTCCATGGCCAAAACTTCAGCATATCCCCTTAGAGAGTCACAGTATATACCTAAAGGGTTTTCGGCGGCCCTGCCTTGTGCAATGACGCTGCATCCCGCGCAAGCCCCGATTGCGTTTGCCCTAGCGGCCGCTATGGATGAGATTTTTGATAACATTGAGGATATGTTCAATTCTCAATGGCGGTGCTTGAGCGTGCGGGCCGACGCGGCGCGGCCCAAGCCGCCGAAAGTGCGGCCGGCTTGCTGTTTCGCCGGTGAGCTTCAGTCCTGATACTACAAATGGGTTACATATTGGCTATGTAAGCGGTCGTGAGCGGGCGAGCAACACGGGCGGCGTTGTCCTTGTTCATTTTCTAAGATAAACGGCAGCGGTGCGACAAGGAATGCTGTCGGAGTTCAAAGCACGCACAAATTGTCAAATATGTGGTCGTTAAAAGCGATTGGGCTTGGCCGTTTATTATAACTCGTGAAATTGGCGACGCAATTCAGCTAACGGTACTTACGAGGGGTCAACGTTTGACGAAATTCACCCCCCGGTCACCAGTAACACCAGTACCTTGCAACGGTTGACAAACGTGGAGGAATTCGACCCGGAGGTTCTTGTCTGTTCTCAAAAGCAAATCTCGACTACTGCAACGCTGACTGCAGCAGCGCCACACTAAAACTGTACCCTGCCTCTCATTAAATTTGAGGCCTGGTAGAGTATTGTATCGTGTGAGCTTGGCATTTGGCGTAAAAATTCCTAGGACCTGACGGAGGCGATAAATGCGATAGAGGCAGAAATCCAGCAGGTTGTCAGTGAAATAAAGGCGGTTGATGAACAGATAGTGGCATGCACTGATAAGCTTATTAATGTGTCCTTAAGGACACATTCGACTACTTATGCAGCACGTTCTGCAGCACACAGCATGCAGTTACATAGTTACATAGGGGTGTTGAAGGTGCATATTGGCTCCTTAACTATATCTCCTTTTTTGGGGCTCCTTTGGGAGAGAGTGCTTGGCAAGCATGTCAGACCGCCATGGACAGGAGGGCACAGGCAGCTAGCATCCTTGGATGAGCCTTTCACCTTAGAGGGGGAGGAGGACATACTGTCAGTAGGTTACCAAATGGAAAGGCTCATGGGCTTGAGGTTGGACCATTGGAATGTTACCGTTATGCACGCCTCCCACGGGTGGATGAGCAGGGCAGGCAGGGAACAGAGGTGAACTGTATCGTCCCAGTGCTGCACGTTTTGTTAGAGCACATCAGGGCAACTGGTGACTTTCCACAGCAGTTTACCAAAACGGTGGTATCCCCAACTTGAAGAAGGGTGACCCGTTGGTGGCAGGAAACTATGGGGGCATTGCAGTTGTAGGAGCACTTGCAAAGTGCCATGCGTCAGTGATTCTTGATTGTCTGGTACATGCTGGGGAAACACTGGACCTACGGCATCCATGCCAAGCAGGTTTCAGGTGGGGGGTTTTGGCACCGCTCATCACCTCTGTAGTAGAGGGTACACAGTACAGCACACATAACTTTACAGGTATGTGATAAGCACGGCTGCCAGTTTCAGCAGCCAGCTACTATATTTGGTATCGAGACCTAGTGAAGGTTCATCCTGAAGTCATCGGTTCACCCCCCACCAGTTACGCTTGGATGTATATCGGGTTTGGTGACTCAGTGCACGATTACCGTGACAAATGTAGCTCTGAAAAAACTTAAGACCGCTAGGCACATGTGAAGGAACGCCACATGACGTGACGTGGGCGGGCACCCACTGCCCGAGGGTAGGAGAAGGTAGGCACAGGCTGGTGTATGTGGCCGTATAGAGCCCGAGACGGATCCCTTCAAAGGGGGGGAATGTAGTAGTTGGTACACAGCACAGCACACATAACCTCTACATATACGCGCTAAGTGCGACTGCCAGCATCTCGAGAGGCCTTTTCAGCGGCCAGCTACTACATCCTCTTTGTCAAGCAACACATGGTCAGGCGGCATTGGAGCGCGGGGCAGCCGCCGTTGATAATAGTACAGATTGACTTTAAGAAGGCCTTTAATAGGGTGCCTCCCGAGCATATATGGCTTCGGTTGCAGGAGAGGGGGGTTGGCGGCCCCATGCTAGGTGCTCTGAGAAGCGTACGAGAAGGTGTCCATGGTGATGAAGGTAAATGAGAAAATGGGACCCTAAGGCACTGATTGGGTCGGTAACCCATGGGTTACCCATCGGTTACCCGCCTTCAACCCCCCGTAGCCCATTGGTAACCCCCTTGTAAGTTCCTACCCAGCAGGAGGGGTAACACGGCCCCAGGGTAACCCCCTCCGTTGCCCTGGACTATGGACATGGGCCTATAGGCTACTCATTTTATTTGCTGCGCACTTCGTGAATTCATTTTAGTATATTTCTGTAAATGTACATGTTACATGTACATGTTGAACCTACAGTAACGCGGTAGCTCGGGAAGCATCGTTCGCCAATATGAATTAAAGGCCTCTAACGCTGCAGGAAAATTTTAGTAGAAGATTTAGAACTATGTATGTATTCAGTCTTAGGAGGGTTGACTGGATGGATGGAAAGAATCATAGTGTGCGGGACACTCACAGCGGTTTTACACTCTTGTAAGCAAGATTTTGATCCCTACAATGTGATCATGATTTGCAGACACAGAGCAGGGCGGCAATGCAGCCGCCGCCGAAGCACCAGCTGGTGCCGAAGAGGTAGCCCCTGTCCAAGTTCCACGACAGCAAGAGCAGCAGAACCCCGCCAACCCACCGACCAGTGATGGGGGTGACGGGACAGCTGCAGAGATGGGTGAGAACCCCACCACGGAGGAGGGAGAGGAGGTGGAACGAAAGAAGCCCCGTGGCAGGAAGCCGGCAGGAAGCCGACATCCAGCTGGCTGTCGCAAGCGAAAGGAACCGCCCCCAACTGAGGCTGGTGCAGAGCAGGCAAAGACCAGCCGCCGCCGTCGAGGGTCAGCTGATCCACGGATAGGCAGTGAGTGAAGTGAGTTGTGCTCTCAGGGTTTTGGTTTTGGGTTAAGGGCCCGGGTTTTGTTCAGAGTTGGGCAATATCTGATGTTAAAACCCTGATATGTGTATTGCCACCTATAGCTATCCTCCCGGTTTCTGTCATATGACAGTTATTACGCATAACCTTAAATTTTGCCATTTCTTTTCCGTGCATGCAAATCTTGATATGATGAGAAATATTCGTTGGTGTAATTAGCGAGTTTTTACACACACCGAGCCTGGGGCCATGGGCGGGCTCTACAGCCCTGCAAGGCTTGTGTTGGTGAGGCAATCTTTACAATTGTACACTCGAAGTGTTTGGTGAACATGTATGTTTATGTGTAGACATGTGAGCTCGATACAGGCATATGCATGGATGGAAGTGTGTAGAGAGGCATGCAAATATTTTTTTACATAGGCGAAATAGGCATACGTGCTCACATAGATGGATAAGACAGCTGTGATAGCATGTGTAGGCAGGTTGGACAGGGACATGCTTACAATCCATTGACACCAGCATATGGCCCGGCATACGGACAAGGAACACATGTAAACACGGGTTACCCTGTCTGTTAACCCTCAGTACAATATTACCTCTACCCCTTTGTTACCCCTTGGTAAGGGGTTACCCCTACCCCTTTGTTACCCCTTGGTAAGGGGTTACCCCTACCCCTTTGTTACCCCTTGGTAAGGGGTTACCCCTACCCCGGGGTTAGGTTACCCACCTCCCTTCGTACATAGCCACATGGGTAACCACTTACCCCTACCCCTACCCCTACCCCTACCCCTAACCCCTAACCCCTACCCCTACCCCTACCCCTACCCCTACCCCTACCCCTACCCCTACCCCTACCCCTACCCCTACCCCTACCCCTACCCCTACCCCTACCCCTACCCC